CCGTCGCGGCCGACAGCTCGGGTAAGGAGTTCTGCAAGTTCTACAACAACGGCAAGTGCAACTACGGCAAGCGGTGCAAGTTCAAGCACGCCTGCAATGTCAAGGGCTGCGGGGGTGACCACCCGGCCTGCGACAAGGAGTTCCACCCGTGATCCCCTGGTAAGGGGGGGTGCTCGCCCTCGGTAAAGAGGGGCAGGCGATGCTCGAGTGAAGATGTTTCTGCGCCGCGCGCAAAGCGTCTGAGAGGGCAGTCGCCGCTGAGCCGCGGGGTGGGCTTCGGTGGCGCTCGCGACGCGCCAGTAATGGCGCGCGCGGGCCGCGCAATTGCAAGCGGCTTGCAGCCGCGGAGCGCCGGTGCGGCGCCTCTGGTGCCGGAAGGCGTTGGGCCTCGGGGGTTCCTGGAACACGTGACAACCCTGGAACACCCGATGTGCGGCCCTCCCACCTTGCACGCTTCGGTAGAGGAAGCGTACCGGAGGCAGGCTGCCGATCTGGAGGTGGTGAAACGAACCAGGTTGCAAGCTTGTGCGCTCATCTCTGAATGGGCAAACGAAGTGGAACCCGAGAGGGAGGCGTGGGCTGCCGCCTTGCATCCCGACGTGCGCCGGGTAATCGGCCACCTGCACGGGCCCCTCTTGAAAAAACTGGGCAGCGCGTCGGGGCACCCGGACAAGGCGTACTTCGACTCCTTGTGCTCGGGGCGGCCGGCCTTGGGCGCAATCCAGCCTGCTGGCCTCTGGAGAGCGGCTGAGTCTGTGGCGTCAGTCGACCTGCAGGACTGGATCAAGGAGGCGCCAGAGAGGAACCGACGCATCGTCGCTGGCGTCGAGGGCTCGGGCGACGCCGCCTTGGACCAAGCAGCGTGGTCAAAGCGCGAGAGAGAGATTGCCACTGGCGCCGTTGAGGGGCCATTCTCTGTCTCGGACGTGGACCTCGCTGATGTGGCGGTGCACCCCAGTTTCCCGGTGTGGGAGCGCGGGCCCACCGGCTCCTGGAAGGCACGCAACATCGAGAACCTCAAATCCAGTGGCGCGAATGCAACCGTTCACACGACGGAAGCGTACACGCCGGACGATTTGGACACGGCGCGAGCCGCTGTGCGCTTCTCGAAAGAACTCTGGGGCGCTGGAGACCCCCTCGCGGGGTTTACAGCCGACTACAGCGGTGCTTTCCGCCAGAGTCCGCTGGCCCCGGAGCAGGTCCAGTGGATGTGGTCGGTGACGTGGCACCCCGGGCGGCGCGAACCAGTCCTCCTGCGCAACTTGGGACAAGTATTCGGGGGCGCTGGGTCGCAGTTCAACTACGTCAGGGACCCGGCGGCGATGTGCGCCCTAGCGAGGCATTTCTTTGCCATCCCAATGCACCACTACAGCGACGACGCCTGGTGCGTGGAGCGCGCCTGCACAGCTTCCTGCGCGTGGTTCTGTTGGGTATGGCTTCACAGACAGGTTGGGTGGAGGCTCGATCTTCAGAAGTCGCCTCTGCCAGCTGGCGTGTGGAAGCTGCTCGGGGCGGAGCTCTCAGTGGACGTCCCCCGGCCCGTCGCTCGGTTGCCGGAACAGAAAACAGCAGCTTTGATCGGTGACATCGACTACTACCTGCAGAGCTGCCGGTTGCCTGCTGCAGAGGCGGGCTCCCTCAGAGGCCGCTTGGGTTGGGCACGTTCGTTTCTCTTCGGCCGCTACGGCTCCGCAGCGCTGGTGCCACTGAGGCGTCGGCAGTTCGATGGCAGCGGGCGGATGGGCATGCCGGCGTCCCTCAGTGCCTCGCTGCGCTGGTTCCGGCACGCTCTGCACGAGCAGTCAGGCCGCGAAGTCCCTTTCGATCTTCAATCGTGGCCGCTCGTTGTCACGGTGAGCGACGGTGAAGGCACGGGGCGAGTGGCAGCGGACATATGAAGCCGCGTGACCCAGACTTCCGGCCAATGCTCACCGCCACTGCGGTGCCAGAGCCCTGGATGGAGCGGTGGCTAGGGCACGATCGTGTGAACGCCATTCAGGAGATCGAAGCGGTGGGCCCTCTGCTGGCGTTGGCAACGTGGCCGACGTTGTTGCGCAGATGTGTATGGATTCATTTCATCGACAACGAATCCGCCAAGTACTCATTGATCAAGGGTTCGTCTAGAGCTGTCCACACGAACGAAATCGTGCACGCGACCTGGGAGGAGTGCCGTTCCAGGTGCATTTACCCGTGGTGGGAACGGGTGGCCTCAGCAGACAATCCCGTCGACAAAGCATCGCGCGGAGATCTGGCCGACCTCTACGAGCAGCAGTGGGTCGTCGTGGACCCTGTGCTGCCGGACATCTGGAGGCGGGACGCAGGCCGGAGTTAGGCCTGGGCAGATCACGAACGTGACTGTCGGGGCCCGACAAGTGACTGCCAACGAGAGCCCTGAGAAAAAAGAACAGGGCGACAGCGTGGACCCCTGACAGGGGGCCGCCATAGTGCAAGCGCTGTTTGGGAATTGTGTGGACCCCAGACAGGGTCTGCGTGGCGTAGTGCAAACGCTGTTTGGGAGTCGGTGCAAGCGCCGCCGCCGCCGTCGCCGTCGTCGTCGTCGTCGTCGTCTTCTGCCTGCCTCCTCTCCTCCCTCCTCCCTTGCCTTTTGCTGTCTCCCTCCTCCATCCTCCCTAGCCAGGTAGCAGGGGAAGTGGTAGCAGCAGAGCAGGGAGTGTGCGGACGATGAGAGTTTTTCTGATTACGTCACGGTTCAAGATGACGAGAACAGCAAGAGACATGCTGGCAGATCCATCACGAAACGTTTGCCACCTTGATGTTCCAGTGCGCTTCTGCTACTCCAAATTTGGTCATTGACAAATCTTGATCACGACGCTGCCAACCACATCTTGCAGTCCGAGGTCCTTCAGCGTGTGCCAGTCGTTCCGCACACATTCCTAGGCATTTCAGGCAAATCTTGGGTTTCGCCAAGACTGCACATCACGGTGAAGTCTAAGTGCTTCGGCAAAGCTTTTCCATTCACGCATTCGTGCAGGAAGGCAGGCCGTAATTGTTGCAAAAAGGTTGTGAGTTTTGCAGGCTGGAGTCGGAAATTGTCATGGAGACTGACTTCGAGAAGCCTCGAGACCATTACCAAGAGATGTTGTCCTGGTGTCGAGGTGTGGAGGCTCTGCGAGGCAGCAGATGTTCGCCGAGAGCGGCTTTCGACCTTGCAGTCTAAGTTGCCTGACCCGCCATGTACGTGCCCCCGTTGCCAGGGACCAAAATCTCCCTGGACAGTCGTTGTCGCGGATGCAGGGCAGCTTTTCGAGGCTACTAACACGAAGACGGTGATGACTGCGGCCCGGGCTCTCGCCGAAATGACCGAGACGCAGTCTGGATTCTCTTCGGTCTCGATGTTCCGGTCGCGAAACAGACAGGCATGTCTGGGTGGACGTCCGGAGATGGTGCAGGGAACTGCCCGTTGTTTTACTTTCGCACAGCTTCTCTCCACGCTGGAGGCCCCCTGCTCCATGACGCTCTGTGCAATGGGGTCGACCGTTGCTCGCATGGACGGTCTACCAATCGGCGGCTTCTTAAGCAAAGTGGCGTGCAGCATCGTACTTTGTCACGATGAGCGGAAGTTCGAATGATCCACCGAGCTGCGGCGTATGCATCGTCTTGATTCGGCCCATACACATGGCAAGATGTAGTCGCATCCGCACGATACGTGGACGACCTGTTAATGGCTTCCGGAATCTTGTATCGGCATTGCCTGCTCGAGGTTATCGACGTCATCTACCCCATTGCGTTCGACGCATCCCCATCCCAAGATTATCAGACCTCACAGTGGTTAGATCTGAGCATGGATGCGCGCAGTCTTCGTGTTGATTGGGCTCAAAAGACTTTCGGGACCCCCCCTTCTTGGGCCTGCACCCTTCACGACCTCCAGAGTTATATGCTCGGTAGGCTGTCTCGCTGCTCAGTGGTCAGGCTTACTCTGATCGACGTGATTCGACACATGGTCGCTCTGTACAATTCCCTCCGTCAGTGCGGATGCCGTGCGAAATCGTTTAAATACGTGAGATGTTCCACGGGAGGGCTTCAAAAGACAGTCCAAAATCGATGCTTCCTACAGCGCTAGAGAAATTTAGTATGCTAGAGTGGCGATCGGTGCACTTAGAATGTTGCAGTTTGCAGATTGTGTGCGACTGCCCACCCGTTTGCTGTGGGAGGTTTTTCTTTAGCGAACGCATGATGCACCCACAGCCATGGGCAAATCACGGATCGATTGTCCACAGCCGTTCCGGGAGCAAGTGACTTTTTAACATCTCTGCGATCGCAGCGAACGGCATGCCTCAGGAGACGCTCAACCACTGGAGTCGGTCTCAGATTCTGAATTGATTTTTTTGTACACCGCAGTGCCTCGTTCATAGACACTGCAAGGTGCAAGTGTGAGTGTGTGTGTGCGTATGCGTATGTCTATGCGTATGCGTATGCGTAACCGTATGCGTATGCGTATGTGCGTGTGTGGGTCAAATCCGCACGCTGCAAGCTAACTCCTCGCAGTCGTCAAAAAGGCGCACCGTTATCAGACGCGGCCTGAAACGGAGGCAGCAGGGCTCACTTGAAAACAGACAAACAGGCAGCCAGACAGACAGACGGGCAGCAACGATCGGAGCAGAAGTTCAGGACATGGAAACGCACGGACGTTCTTCTGTCTCGCGCTGGATCCAGGCTGCGAGGACTGGATAGGTGAGCAGCCTCGGGGAAGGGGAGGATGGGGAAGGAGGAGAAGGAGGCAAAGGAGGGAAAATAGGTACTCCTACTCATTATCCTCCTCCACATACCCCATCCTCCTCCTCCTCCTCCTCCTCCTCCTCCTCCTCCTCCTCCTCCTCCTCCTCCTCCTCCTCCTCCTCCTCCTCCGGCTCCTCATCCTTTTTCTCCTTGTCATCCTCCTCCGCCTCCCCATCCTCCACCTTACACTGGAACTCAAGCTCGTACTCCCCCCTCTCCCTATAGCACTTTCTCCCTTCCTCCGTTGCTTGTTCCCGAGGGTCCTTGCTTCGAAGCTCGTATCCTGCAGCAGGATCATGCCGTCCTCGCTGAGTTGGACGACCCAGGCGTCGTGTGCGGCAGAAGCGCGAGCGTCTTTTGAGCTCACCTCGTTCGCGAAGCACCAGGGCACCTGCTGCTGACGTCGTCATGCCGACCATCGGCATCATGACAACTATCGTTGGCACCATCACGCGTAAATGTCATCACCATCGAAATCGCAACTCGCAGTCGCCGTAACCGACCAACGTCACCGTTGTCGGGGCACTGTCGTTGTCTGCCATGGCTCTTATCTTCGCCGTCAGTGCGTCCGACTACAGCCGTCAGTGCGTCCAGCCCCCGTTCCATGTGCTACTGATGAACTGCGTTGCCAAGAGATGCGGGCCGCGTCAGTGACTCAATACTGCCCTGACAACGAAGTGAGATCACGAAGCCATAACATACATACTCCAACGTACAGTGCATAATGAGAAGGAGTGCAATGCGGATGGTCGATCCGACCAAGACACTCATAAGAAAGGACGGTGGGCAAGATACAAGAGGCCCCGCTGTAGGTAAGAACAGCGGTGGCCTTAGAAGCCGGAGTAAACAACACGGATGGAAGCCCGCTGATTCCAATCTCCGCGCCAGGTGATATCCCGCAGGGCAATGGCTGGACCGAGCCTCGGATGCACTCGCGACCCCCCGACCTGTGCGCGCGCGCGTGCATCACGAAGCTGCCATGTGGGAGGCAGCCTGGGCGCCACGTGCAACAAAGTTACGATGGCCCGTTCAAGTCCTCTTGTGCGCGCTTGTCCGGAGCCGTGGTGGCTGTGGAGAGATGGGCCTCCTGGCCACGAGCACCGAGCGGTGCTTGCGCCTCAGCACCGCCCTCTGATGAAGGCAGGTATGTTCGAAGAACTGGTGCATCCTCCTCCTCCTCGTCCGTCTCCTCCTCCTCCTCCTCCTCATCATCATCATCATCATCAGCATCAGCATCAGCATCAGCATCAGCATCAGCATCAGCATCATCATCATCATCATCAGCATCATCATCATCAGTCATCGTCATCGTCATCGTCATCGTCATCATCATCATCGTCATCATCATCATCCTGCTGGTCGACCTCTCCCTGCTGTGGTCGGGAGCGTGCTGCGCTCTCCGGAGCCCGCTTCCAAGACCCTCGGAACAGCGCCCTTCGGAGGAGGGCCACTTGAAGTGGCCCTCCTCCGAAAGGCGCCTTTCCGAGGCGCCCTTCAGAGGCACTTCGGCGCACCTTGCTCCACGCACCCACCCCATGACACCTCGCTCGCGCTGCACAAGCGCATCCATGAAGCGCCCACAGCGTCAGACGCCAAGAAGATGCCAAAGAACTTCAGACAACGACGGCTCCCCCGCCGGCCCCCAAGCGAGTTCTGTCGGCACCTGGACCCTGCCCAGGGCCCCTCCGGACCGGTCCCCAGACCTGGAACCTGGCCGTGGCGACGAGGAGCGTGAAGCAAGCCCCACGGAGGACGAGCAAGACGCAAAACGCAAAACGCAAAAACGCACCAGGGAAGACCAACAGGAGAAGCCGCGAAGACGCAAAACGCAAAAAAAAAAAAAAAAAAAAAAAAAAAAAAAAAAAAAAAAAACAAAAAACGCACGCACCAGGGAGCACCAAGACGCAACCGCAAAACGAAACGTCGCGAAGCACACGCGAAACGCACCCAGGAGGACCCCCGACCCTCCTCCGAGCTCTCTCGCCCCCCTGCGCGCTCGGCCGCGCTCCTGGCCCAGCGCGCCCGCCCCTCAGGGTGAGCCGCACCCCGCCCTGTCGGCCCTCCTCCTCCTCCTCCTCCTCCTCCTCCTCCTCCTCCTCCTCCTCCTCCTCCTCCTCCTCCTCCCTCCCTCCTCTCCTCCTCCCCCCTCCCTCCCTCCCTCCCTCCCTCCCTCCCTCCCTCCCTCCCCTCCTCCCTCCCTCCCCCCTCCTCCTCCCTCCCTCCCTCCCTCCCTCCCCCCTCCCTCCGGAGAGGGATTCCCTTCCCCCGCAGAGGCGACGATCATGCCTCGACGCGTGGGCACCGCAGAGCACCACAGCAAGCCTGCGCATCCGCGTGCCCCCGCCGTGCCACCGCCGGAGGGAAGGAGCGCGCAGCGCCAGCATCGGGATGCAGAACTCCGCCCCGTCGTCGCCGCACCGCGGCGAGAGCCCCGCGAAGTTCTGCAGCACCGCCGCCGCCGAGCCGAACTGGCCCGGCTCGGTGGCCGAGGCGACGATGCCTCCCGCAGGTTGCGCGGGCCGCCGCCGCCGCGCCCGCCGCCCCGCGCGGCCGCGTCGCCGCCGCGTCGTCGCCGGCGAGTCCCCGCCACCGAGGAGGCAGGAAGGGCAGGGGGTGTGCACGTGGCGGGGGGAGGCGGGGGGGCGGAGGGAGGAGGGGCGAGGGAGGACGAGGGGGGGGGCAGAGGAACGACGGGCGAGGGAGGGAGGAGAGGCAGGGAGCGGGATGGAACCGAGCCGAATGGAGTGGAGTGGCACGGGGCCGGTGACAATCTCATGTCTAAGGAAGGGGGGGAGTTCGCATGTCCGACTTGCACGAGAGGCTATAGACCGTCGCCCCCGCCCGCTGAGACTACACACTTGCGAACGAAACTCGCGCAGCCTCTAAAGTTAGGAGGCAACTACTGGGAGATCATCGTCGGAAGGTCTAGAGAGCATTAAACCCCATTGGAGGGCAACGACGGCGGATTAGGCCGCGGATTGAATGGGACTACGAGGGAGTAAGCGGAATTAATCGAGATTAAGCGGGATTGAGCTGGATTTCGGACCACGGCAAAATCGGAATGTGACCTCCCAGGAGTTGCATCCGGTTGATCCGCCACCGCGCCTCGAGGCACAAAGTGGAATGGTCTCGGGTCCCTTCGGGTCCTTGACATCATAAGCTGTAAAAGCATCTGCAGGGCCAACAGCGCCAAGTTCCGGGCGCATTCGGGCGCTCATGGGGTTTCTCGAGTGTCCCCGCGCGTCTTTTCCGGAAGCAGGAGGGTTCCGAAACAGATCAAGAGGGCCCCAGGTGCCCTCCAAGACGGTCCACGATTCCCGAGACGGCCCACGGCTCTCCAAGACGTCCAAGATTGCCTGAAGACGGCCTATTGAAGCCGCCAAGACGCTCCTAGAGACCGCCCAAGAGGTCTACAACAGAGCCCGCAAAAGCACACAATCTTGAATTTCCATTGGTGCTTAGAGGAACTGTAGCGTTGTCGCCTTTTCGGGCTTCCGACCACCCAAGACGCCCAAGATCGCCCCAAGACGGCCCAACAGGCCCCCAAGAGGCCCAGAGGGCCTCAAGCCAGAGGCCCCAACCAACAGCCCCGAGGAGCTCTCAAGAAGCCCCATGAGGCCATCAAGCCGAGAGCCCCCGAGATACAGCAGATGCCTGTGAGGAAGCCCCCATCGGCATCCGAGAGTCTTCGGACCTGCAGCAGAGGCACGATAGCGGCATGGGCCGAAGGCCACCATATGCTGTCAAAGAAAGCACACCAGCACTGCAAGCCCGCGACATGCTACCAACACCAGCCTGGCAGAACGTGCCGACTGCCATCCGCCCATCACACACACACACACGACGGGCCAATTGGCCCGCTAATCCAGCTTGCATCGGTACTCACCCAAGCTGGTTTGTTGACGTCATGGCAGAGCTCATGCGTGGGAGATGGTAAGCGGTGGGAGGTGAACGAACCCAGGCGTGTGCCAGGCCATGCTGAGCTTCCCCTCAGGCTGCAGCCTCCCCCTCTTCCTCCTCTCACATGCCCCTTGACACGACTGTGAAGTGCACGTGGGCCGCAATCGTGGGCCAGCTTTTACACTTAATGATGTGGGTCGGCCGTGTCCCTGACTCGGATCCTAGATGCCTACTCCGGATTCCAAAATAAAGTGGGGGGGGTCACATTGGGGGGGGGGTCTGATTTGAGCTGTCTTGGAGGGTTCGGGGGGGTCTGGGCAAAGGGCCGCCCTTTCATGGATGGTCTGGGAGGGTCTAAAACTCCTCGTCTGGAAGGGTCGAGACCCCCTCCCTTTTGTTACGAAATCTGGAGTATCCCGTCTGCGCTCACACTTTATGTGTGTGGGTCGAGCGGGGCGCGCTCGGCTCGGCGCTCCTGGTAGCGGCTCTCTCCGCAACATGTTGGCCCCTTGCCCCCCTGTCACAGGAGGCCCAAGGTCGGAGGGTTTCGGGGTTGCCGCCTGCTCCAGATTTCGTAATAAAGGGAGGGGGGTCTCATTTCGGGGGGGGTCTCTTCCAGGCTATCTTGGAGGGCCTGGGGGGGTCTGGGGACGATGTTTTTGGAGGGTTTTCCCACGGGGGGGGGTCTGAAATGGCTTGTCTTGGAGGGTCCAGACCCCCTCCCTTTTATTACGAAAACTGGAGTACACTTAGTTACTGTATGGTGGCGCCTGCCTGAAGCACCTGCCCCTATGCCCGCAGCTCTGTCTCACGCTGCCCGTTTCCCTCACTGTGTGCCTTCTACATGCACGCGACTGCGTTTCCCTTCCTCTCTCCCATCTCGTCCCTCGTCTCTCCAACATGTGCTCCCCTCCGCAACTACGATACACCACATGAGCACCACCCCCTCTGTCTCTCTCTCTCTCTCTCTTTTCTCTCTCTCACTCTCTCTCTTTCTCGTTTTCTCTGATAATCTCTGTCTCTCTCTCTCTCACTCTCTCTCTCTCTCTCTTCCCCTATCCATGTGTATACATATATATATGTATATAAAAATAGCCTGGGCCCGAGTCCCTTGAGGACAGACCGCGGCCACAAGTGCAGGCCCCCCCGCGGTCCTTCCGAATCCGCATGGGGGCAGGCCGGACACGGCCCATCACACGGCGCAACCAATCTGCACCACCATCCAGTCGGGGCGTTGACCCCTTTGTTACATAAAGAACTCCAGGTAGCAACTGTGGAAGCTTCCCGTGGCAGATCAAGTTTAGGCAGCCCTGGACCTGTGGCTGGCACTGGTCGTGGTAATGATGCCGCAGCCTAGCCCGAGGTGGTGGTCCTCACCGTCTGGCCTGGATGAAGGGCCAATCTGCAGGAACCCTAAATCAGGAACGAGGCCCCTTTGTTACATAAGTTAAACTCCGACTTCCCATCGAAAACAGAAGGAACACCTGAGGCAAGCTGCGAAACAATGGAGGAGCACGGAGCCCCTCCCCAACGAAAAGGCTTCCTTCTTCAGCGCCCCGACTGTACCTCCGCGTCGCGCCGCCAGTTCCTGCGCCACCGCTCCGGCTCCGCACCGAGCATGGCCACCGCGTGGCCTGCTGCGGAGGCCCGACACTCCGGACTCCGAGGAGGGCGGCAGCCGCCGCCGCGAGCCGTGCGTCGCGCCCGCTACATCGGCGACCACGTCCTGCGCTTCGCTCCAGCTAGGAACTATTCACGTCCCGTTTTTGACGACCAGGCTCTCCTGCCCGATCCAAGTGCGCACGATCCTCTGGATCGCCCGGCTGATCGACATGAAAACCTCCCAGCGCACGAGTTTCAGGCACTCCGAGTCGATCTTCGCGACCTCCGCGATGCCCTTCGTGTTTTGCGGGCCGTACTCTCACGCCCCCCCGCCAGCCAGGGTGACCCGCATCCTCTACGTGGCGTTCCCCGTGGATGCCTTCAGGAGAAGCGTGGCGACCTGCGGGGCGCCCTACCTGACCGTCCTGTCGCCCTC